TTGTAGTCTTCTTATTTATTGTTATTGTCATCCTGTAAAGCGCTTTGAGAAGCCACCTTTAAAGGCGCTATATAAAATAAAGTTTATTATTATTATTATTATTATTATTATTATTATTATTATTTCTAATCCAGTGCCCCAGCCTGTGCCTGGGCCCACTGTCCGATAGAGCATGACGTCCAGACTGCTTGGTCATTGAAAATCGCTTGGCACTGTTTATAAGCACAGAGGTGTTATCCCAGGTGTTCTCGCTGAACTGCACTCTGGATTTGAGCAGTCTGTCCTCCCCCTTAATTCAGCTGGTGAGGCAGTTTCTCTCTGCTGTGCCCTGGGGCTGCGCTTCAGTGGAGGGTGATATCGTGTCCCCTCCTGTATGGGAAGTACTTTCAGATCCTTCAAGTGCCAAAAGTGCCGTATAAATGTTGTGAAAAGTTATTAATTCATGGCTCATTACTCACTAACTGGTTTTGATTTGTCTCTTCTCCTTCTCGCTTGGAAGATTACTTCTTGCTTGAATTGAAATTTTAACCCTCAGTAGGTCGTTCTGTATGAACGATATGAAAAAGAAACCATCTGAATGCAGTTTGGAGATGGGCGTCTCGCTGAACAGCCTGACAGGTAAAGACAGATGTTATGGGCTCTGTGTGAAAAACAATCTTGAGAGATGACAAGAGAGACCCCCTGATAGACGTAAGAGTTCCAAACCTTATTTGAAACATGGAATTTGTACTCTGTTTATCTGATATACAATAAAAGTGTCTGTAGAGCTCGGAGACGTTAGAGAAGTTAGAATTGTCACGGATCATCAGATTATAAGGAGCCCTCAGTAAGGACTCCTGCAACAGTTTGGGATGAGGAAGTAATTATATTGTCATAGAATCTCTTTAGTTTGTGTTTTGGTTTCTCTCTGCTGTACCACAGCCTGACCTCGTGAAAGCCCGGTGTGGCCTGGTGCCCGCGATATACAGTACATGCCACATTAGCCTTGCTCACCTTACCTCTCCTAACTCCCTGCAGCTCACTCTTCACTCCCTGAGTGCTTTGTCACACTGTCATTTTTCCTGATACATTTTTTCCTGAAGCTGCTGCCTGTGTAGGAAAATTAATAAAGACTGGGTATATTCAGAATTACAAGGACATAAACAACACAAAAGGAGTGTTAAGTGTGAACAACGTTTTATACATACAAGGTCATCGGATCCGTACTTCTAGTCACTGCTAGGTTACACAGAAGATATAGAAATAAGGTTCCAAGTGTTAAGATTGCTATGCTGTTATACAAAAGAAATATAAAAACAATCCTTCAACAGTCCAAACCAACAGTGTCTAGACACCCAGAACTGGGTGATGGCCAGTTTGTGTTGATTTCTCTCTCACACTGCGAGCCCACCGACCATCTCCTCGCTACATTGTAGCACCCAGCAAGGCCGCTACATTAATTTCTGCTGGTTGGGCCACGATTGCATTTCTATTTGTAGCACTTTTTTCTTCTGTGCAAGGGAGCCGTGATTAGCCAGGCAAGGGAGCGTTTTTTTTATAGGTGGCACTGGAAGAGTGAGAGCTAAAGGCAATGTGGAGAAACACACAGCAGAAAACTCCGAACAGAAAAAAACAAAGAAAATGAGAAAGTACGTCAAAAGGTACCTGAAGTACGGATTTATACAGACAAGTGATAGAGAGGATGCACGACCGCTGTGTGCGGTTTGTGGCGAAGTGTTGGCTAAGGAAAGCCTCAAGCCCTCCAAAACTGCTACGCCACTTACAGACCAGACACTCGACCTTGCAGTGTAAACCTGTTGAGTTTTTTTAACAAAAGCTAAGAGGCCAACAATCTACCCTCCAAAAAGCCACCACTGTGAACCAGAAGGCACTTCAGGCATCTTTCGTCATGGCTAACGGGATTGCCAAAACTGGGAAGCCACACGTTAGGTGAGACCTTTTCTTACAGTGCGCTAAGGAAACGGTTTCAATCGTGAGGGAAAAGTGCTGCGGAGCAGCTAGACACCAGTATAAAATGACACCGTGTCTTACCGCGTAGGGCGTATGGCAAGAGACGCAGAACAGCAGGCGATCGCTAAGATAAAATCTAGTGTGCATTTTTCTTTACAACTTGACAAAACCACTGATGTCTCCGGAGATCCACAAATGCTTGTTTATGCCGGATTTGTTGAAGAGGGAGAAATTAATGAGGATTTTTTGTTCTGTCGTCCTCTTCCCGAGCGTGCCACTGGCGACGAACCTTTTCGTTTTCCTGGACTCATACTGTACGTACGAGAGCATGAAATTGACTGGAACAAGTGTGTGGGACTCTGCTCAGGCGGGGCACCAGCTGTGACTGGCAAACACAGTGGGCCGGTCACGAAAGTACAGGCTGTTGCTCCGCTCGCTTTGCGGATGCACTGTATGATTCATAGACAAGGACTCGCTGCTAAGAAAATGCCCCCCGAACTCAAACAAGTAATGGATGAAGCTGTTCGTACTGTAAATTCCATCAAGGCCAGTGCAAGAAGTGCACGACTTTTATTCCAAAAGTTAAGGACTGGTGAGGCAGCATTTTGCTACTACACGCCCAAACTGTGGAATAGTATTCCTAAAAATATTACAGAGACTGGCTCTATGGATGTAATTAAACGGCAGCTCAAAACTTATTTTTGTTAATCTTGCTTTTACTTGATTTTTCTTATATAATTTCAGTGCTATTTGTACTGTTTGTGCATGGTTCTTTTAATTTGTTATTGTTGCTTATTTTAAGTTTAAAGTTTTTTTAACTTTTTTTTTTAACAAGCACTCTGAGTTGCAAAAATAGTATGAAAGGTGCTATATAAAAAAACATTTTTTTATTATTATTATTAAGTGAGTAGGCTTACAATTTATGCAACGTGACGATTTTTAAATGTGTGTGCGTGTGTGAAGGGGGGCGGGGGGGTCGCGAGATATTTATAACCCCAAAAAAGGGTCACAATCTCCAAAAGGTTAAGGACCCCTGTCCTAGAGAGATGGGGATGGGAGTGCTGAGGTTGCGCCCTCAGCTCCTGCTCTCCCCAGCACGGCCTCCTCTCACTTGTCACCAGCCTGCCGAGAGACGGCAGGGGCGCCACAGTACCCATTAGTCCTGCTCGGTCCTGTTCTTGGTTTGCAACCTCCTGTTCGAACGTGTCCGTGTTTCAGTCGCAATCCAGAGCTTCAGTAAAATGTTGGACAGGGCAGCATGCAGGCTGAAAAGTAGAAAGGAAAGCAAAACGTGTTCTTCAGCATCTGGCTTTTTCTTTTCACTTTTCGCTTTTCTTCCTTGAGTCTTCTTTAACTTCTGCCCTGATCTGCTGGTTTGGCAAACCTGAATCTTGAGAGGTAAGAAGAAACTGGGCAGCCTTGTGAAAAGACGCCGGAAGGTCATGAGCGCCGATCTTCCTGCCCTCCCCGCCATCCATCATCCACGTGAAGTAAAATCCATCTGAGACGATCCTTCACACCCCTGTTGTCATGAATTCCAGTCACTGCCATCAGAACAGGGACACCGACTTCCCAACTCCAAAAGCAAGAGATTTAAGTTCTCATTCATACCTGTAGCCATGTCCTTACTTAACACTTGATTTTCTATGCGAATACGTACATGTATTGTTGTTGTTCTTTCTGTGCAGGGCTACTGCTGTTAAATAGATTAGCCCCCTCGGGGGGTAGTAATGACTCCCTCTCTCGCTGTGGAATTAACATCTGGTTTTCCTTGTTGGAATACAATAAGGGTTATAGCTTGTGCAAGAGCTTTCAAAGACCAGGGATGTGTCCCCACCTAGCAAATGGCCCAGGATGTGTAAGCTGGAAACTTGTGTAGGAAGGTTCATAAATAAGTACGTGTTGCCCCATAGCCATGGAGTCTTTTGATACACAGTTAGATTAATTAATACTTGGGTGTAATGCATTCACATTAGAGGTGAGGTTGATGTGCATGAATGAGTGAGGGTTTTCTTTGCAGTTTGCAGTTCTTTTTTTTTTTTGAAGGAGTGAGTTGAGAATACAGCTGCCAGATGAGAAACAGTGTCGGTAAGAAACTGCAGTAAGGGCAGGAGAGCAGTCTTGGCAGGACAGTGAAGGGCTTTACTTTAGGGCTGAGAGATAAGCGGATTTTGTACACTGCCAACACTGTATAAAATCCACCAGCTCTCAAGACGTTTGGATCAGGGAAGCAGCTGTGTAGAGCTGGTGCTGATAGGGGTGTCACCCTGGGCCTGCGATGCCAGGTCTGGTCTGATGTGTTTTTTCCAGTCTGTGATTCAGTATTCCAGTACTTCCTACTCCACTCTGTGCTGAACTGTCAGCACCGACTTGTCTGTTTGATATGGTTGGAGCAGAGAGAATTCCACCCTCTGCCTGTAATGTGTTGGTTTGTGCTCTGTTGTCAAGTGTTGAAGCTGGGTGGCTTTTGAAGTCTTCACTCAGCTCGCCTCTGGGATTGTGCTAGTTTATGGCCGTTGTCCTTATCTGCAAGTGTCTTGTTCTTTACTCGGGGGCTGTGGGCTGAGAGGAGCAGAGCTTTCACTGCCAGAAGGGAGAATCAGAGACAGATAAATACTCAATAGCAGAAAAGTTTATTGTTGTATGTACACATACATTAGAATTCTTGTTCGCAGTGATCTCTCTGCAAAAACACAGGACAGAGGACAACCACACATTGTAGTAATAAATGTAATAAACAATTCAGGGATTAGGCATTCATCCCTAAAAGAATTAATAAAATACCATAATTCCTACATTTGGCAAAATCACAGCAGCTGTCAGTCTGTCTGGGGAAAAAACTTAAAGGTTTTCTATGCCCAGAATGTGAACATAGAGTGAGCTTCTCATAAGTAATAAGCCTCTTGAAGAGTAGTGTATGTGAGTGTTCTAAATATTTATAAATGATTACTAATTATTATTGTAATTATTGATTTAGCAGCACTGTGATTCCCTGTTAAAGCTCTTTGAGTCTTAATGTCTAAGGCTTATCAGATCTTATCAGATCAGATCTGATTGAGCCAGCCCCCAGGCTGGGAACAGGTCTCTGCTGCCTTATCTGTTAATTGGGCCTTCCTCTAGTGGAATGTGTCTGACCTGATACTGAGGAAAGCCATCTGATCTACAATGTTTGATCTTGGTGTGAAGTGAAGGGAACCCTGAATGTGTCTTAATGTGTTTTACTAAGGGGGATTGTGGTCAATTTATACATCAGGGAGAGAGATAGTGTCATTTGTTTTAACTGCATTTTCCTGGTTTACTAGTTTTTCACAGTTTCTATAGAACTTTAAATCAATCTTAAATGCAGCTGTCTTTTGGAGTTCTGATATCTTTTACGTTTCTACAGGAAACAAATTTCCCCCTCACAGGAGTGTCTGTGTGATCTTGCCCATAAACCAACTGGCAGCGAAATCAACACTTTATTCTTTCAGCTGGAAGGAACAGCTCTCTCAAGCAGTAGAAGGTTCCCTTCCAAGTGCGGAGTCCAAGCTCATTCCTGCACTCCTCCTAGCAGGGAAAGGAAGGATCAGTTGCATTCGGAATGGCCCTGCTCTTATTGTCTGCGAATGAAGGAACGAACCCCCTGGAGCTCAGCAGGGTTGAGCCTGGTCAGTACCTGGATGGGAGACTCCTGGGAAGCTATGGTTTCTGCTGGAAGAGGTGTTATGGTGGTGTTCCGGGCCGAGCGGTGGCTCTGTGGCTCAGGATCTGAGCCTGTGGCTGGAAGGTTGCCGGTTCAAATCAAAAACTCAAAGCAGAGGAATCCTACTCCGTTGGGCCCCTGAGCAAGGCCCTTCACCCCAACTGCTCCAGGGGCGCTGTATGAATGGCTGACCCTGCGCTCTGACCCCCAGCTTCTCTCCCCCCGTCTGTGTGCCTGTGTGTCTCGTGGAGAGCAAGTTGGGGAATGCGAAAAGACAAATTCCCAATGCAATAAATTGTATATGTAAAATATACCAATAAAGTGACCTTATCTTAGTGGGACCAGCGTGGAGAGCACCCTGTGGTCTGTATGGATCCTAATACCCCAGTATAGTGATGAGGACACTATACTGTAGTGGGTGCCGTCTTTTGGATGAGACATTAAACCAAGTTACTGACTCTCAGTGGTCATTAAAGATCCCGGGGCATTGCTCAATAAGAGTAATATAATAATAATAAACTTTATTTTATATAGCACCTTTGCTTCTCAAAGCACTTTACAGAATGACAATAAATAAGAAGAATACAACAATAAATAAGAATACACAAGATAAGACACAATTACAATATACAGAGGTGACCGTAGATGGTGGTACTAAGAAGAGCAGAGGGGTGAAGAATGGAACCAGTTCAGTAAAGGCTTTTCTGAAGAAGAGGGTTTTGAGTCTGGATTTGAAGGAGTTTAGAGAAGGTGACTCTCTGGTATCCTTGGGGAGAGAGTTCCAGAGCTTGGGAGCATAACAGGAGAAGGCCCTGTCACCCATAGAGTGTAGACGGGCTTGGGGGGATAGACAGGAGACCAGAATTAGAAGAGCGAAGGTTGCGAGGTGGGGAGTAGGGCGATAATAGTTCAGACAGGTACTGAGGTGCTAAGCCATGTAGAGCCTTATAGGTGAGCATGAGGATTTTAAAGTCTGCACGGTATTTGACCGGAAGCCAGTGTAAGGACTCCAGGACCCCAAGAGTAGGGAATTATTCCGGTGTCCGAGCCAAATTTCTCCCCTCGGCCTTTACTGTGGCCTCCAAATTGTCCCCATGCATGATTGACCTGCACTTGCCCTGCGATGGACTGGCGCCCCGTCCAGGGTGAACCCTGCCTTGTGCTCGTTGTTGCCCGGTAGGCTCCGGCTTCCTGCGACACTGTGTGGTATAAAGAGGTTTGGCAAATGGCAGGACATGAAGGAACGAGGTTGACCGGCTTGGCTGCTGCAGGGAGATCATGCCTCAAGTTGCTTCAGAGACACCCAATCCTGTGGCCGTCAGAAGAATCCTACTCCCTTGGGCTCCTGAGCAAGGCCCTTCACCCCAGCTGCTCCAGGGGTGCTATATAAATGGCTGTCCTGTGTCTCAGAGAGAGCAAGCTGGGGTCTACGAAAAGACAAATTCCTAATGCAAGAAATTATATCTGGCCAATAAAGTGATTTATCTCTCTGTTATCTTATACAGTTGCGCCTTTCTGGCTTAACTCCAGAAAAGGAGCAGTGAAATGAGCACGTTATCGTAATCTTTCCAAACCCGAGGACGCTGTACACAGTAAGAAAGGGAAAGACAGAGAGTGCAGTAAGAAGTAAAAGAAAAATAAATATGAATGCATGTTTATACCGATAGAATGTAAGACAATCAGATGTAGCCGGTAAAAAGGTGAGTTTTGAGTTTTGAATTTAAAAAGAGTCAAAGAATTTGTCTCTTGTAGTGTCTGAAGAAGGGCATTCCACAACACCGGAGCAGCGACAGAAACAGCACGGTCTCAGAAAGTCAGAGATTTCAGTCTGTTTTATCTTATTTTGTCCTGTGAGCAAATGACCAGTCTCAACTGAGTGGAGCGCAGCCTACGAGAGGGAGTGTGAACATGGAGGGGTTCACAGATCTATGATGGAGCCAGATTGTTTAGAGCCTTGAAAGTCAATAACAAGATCTTGTATTGAAGACACAACTTTATAGGCAACCAATGTAGAGCCTTAAGCGTAGGAGTGATGTGCTGCCATGATGTTAGAAGTCTAGAAGTCTAGCAGCAGAGTTTTGGCCATATTCCAACTTGTTGAGAAGAGTGTTAAAGACTCAGAAAAATCAATTGGCCTTGATCTTATAAATGCAAAGTTCAGGAAGATCAAGCTCTGAAACCAATAGCATATTTTCACCACTTTCTGCATCTCAGTTATATTCTGGTTTTTATTTGTTTTTTTTTAGTAATCCCTTGCTGAACCAGATAATCAGTTGAGAAAGAAGGTTTGTTCACTGTCACCAGTGTGCCACAGTGCCCTGACGCCAGTGTCACATGGAAAGAAAAGCGAAATAAATTAATAAAGTGTCAATAAAAGGATGAGGACGTGGTAGTGTTAACAAGAGTAGCCGTTAGAGAAGATTTAATCGCACAACTGAAAACAAAGGTGGAGTCTGTTACAGTCATCGGCAGCAGTCAATCAGAATGAGTTGCTCTTGAATGGTTCAGTCTGATAAAAGCATTTTGCTTGTATGTGCTTGTGGAATTGCTCAAGTCGATTCAGGTCTCGTGGCAGAAGCTGCTGTTACAACGGGAGGTTCTGCCAGACAGCTGACAACTGGTTGTGTTGGAGGGCCTGATGAAATGGGGAGACACTGGGGGTTTGGAGAACCTCTATAGCCAGCTCACTCAAGTGGAGGGCAGGTGACCTTTGACCCCACAGTGCTGACAGAAACACTGTATAATTTGTCATGTCATAACATGGGAGGGGACAGGAAGAGCAGGCGATTCAGCGCATGCAGTTGGTAGTACTGTAAGTAGTTAACTGATCCCAGAATCCTCATCCTGGTGTTTCTTGAAAGAAGTGTCAGGGTATCGGCTTCAACAACATGGGTGGGTACATTGTTCTTTATACCTACAACAAACTAAAATAGTGCCTCCTGTTCTCGGTTTTAAATGCATTTTTACATAGTATTGTTAGGCTTGTCTTCCCTGTTTATTCTGAGCAGTTGACCTATGCTTGTAATTATTCCTAATCGCTGCACGTTTTAAAACTGGATGACTATTCTTTTTTGATCATTGTATAACGTGCTTTCTTCCTCCTCATGTTTTTTTTCTTGTGCCTTCAGCCTCATTACTTCGGAGCCTCCGTTCCCGAAATTGAAAACCTTTGCTTCGACTCCACTTGTACCGTTGCAAATTGTGTTTCAGTGCCCACCACATTGCAGTCACAGTTCCCTCCTAATGGTTTCCTCACCTCTGAGTGCTTCGTGCTGTGTAGGTTATTTAAAAGAATACAGGCATTCCTTCTTGTAGGTGTTCTTGCACGCTGACCAGGAAAGTGGTTGTTTCCCGTGTCTGTCCTTTACATTTCAGCAAGGGACTTCCCTAATGGTCTTTCCCAGACTAAGTGAGGAAACGTTCAATCTCCCATTATAACTAAGTTTCTTCATACATTCCTCAATGCATTTCCTTGTGTTTGTCCTCAGGCCATTCTCTCTGGACAACTTTGATGACTACCAGAAGCATTTCACAGTAATGAACTACGCCGAAGGAGCCCAGCTGAAACAGGTACATTTGAGCCCTGTGGTGGTGGGTACAGCCTTTTGACGCAGCTTAAGGCCGGATGTGGTCACTAAATGAAGTGTGTGCTTAGGCTTTTAATGTTTGGTCCTTGCAGCTTGCAGTTAAACCATGTAGGATTTGTGAGGAAAAATCAAACTGGTAGTGTTTTGTGATTAACCTGCCAGGCAGAGCCGAGCTGAGTTTAGGGTAGCACCGAGGGTCTGTGTGTCTAGTCCAGTCTGCGACGTGTACTGTGCCCCTTTTTTGGTTCAGTCATATTTCTCAAAAAGTCCCACCCCATTAACCAATGGTGTTCATGTAAGGAAGTTCCTACCTCGGGGTCTCAGTTTATCGTTTTTACGCGAGGGCGTTTTTGCACCTTTTTAAATTTCCTTCCTGGGGGGACTAGTTAGCAGTCATGCGTTGTGTAGCCCCACACACCTACACATACTCATGGTCGTAATTATCATGTGAATGCTGGGGGTACACCCAAAATCCACAAATGGTAGAAAATGACACGTCGTACTCCTGAAGACTCTGGGAGTCATTGCAGTGTGGAGAGTCTGGCTAGGGCTGTTGTGGTCAAGGGGAGCCGTGTTCCAGTGTCCAGCTGGCCTGAGCAGTGTGCTGACGCAGTGCACCAACCTGCCAGGGTGGAGCTTACTGGACAGATGCCAGTATTCCAAGTCTGTTGATGGTTTTAATTGCATTCTAACATGTAGAGACGTTGTCTAAGTGTGCTTTGGCCGTACGGTTGATAAGACTGTTGGTAACCAGGTTTGGAGAAGCTGTTTGAAGAGGCTCATTCTCCTAGAAAATGCAGCAGCTCAGTAGTGTTTTTGCAGGAAAGCAGGGAGTCAGGACTCCGAGTGTCGATTGATCACTCAGGAGAATCTCAAGGAAAGAGAGAGCTTCCACTTGTCCTCACACTCTGCCAGCTCATTTAGTTTAGGGACCGTTAGACCCCTCTTGGAAAATCACACGGCTCTGGTATATCAAGCTGCAGATTATTGCAGTAAAGAAAGGAGAACAGACACAGCCAGAAGCTTGCCTCTCACTTGCTTTCTCAAGGACAGCAACAGGCTTTTATGTTTGGAGATGAGCAACATTTCCGTGCAAAACATACATATTTATAATTGGTCAGTAACAGTTTGTTGCCATATACAGTACAAAAACAGACAGTTAAGACGGTTTAACTGTGGTCAACCTTGGCAGTCACCCAAAGTCCCTGTTTCCACTTTATGTAGCTAAATCAGACACAAGCCGTTCGTAAGACCATGGCTGGGACAATTTGCAGTTTTGTGAAATAAAATCATAACAAGAATGAACGCTGCTTTCAGCACAAAGATAATTTCAATGCCAATATGGCCTTTTTTTATATTCAAATATGTAGAGCGGATGAGCCTCTACATGCATACTCAATTCCAAGTATTTCTAATATGTTTTTTTTTCTATTAGCATCCTCTGCAAACTAGCATTCCTCTATTAACACAAGATGAACATAAATCACTATATTCCAGGTCTGTCAGGCAGGTCCCACAGATGATATCTAGATGATGTTTTGTACAAACTAATCATATAGGATACTAATCTCACGGTTTTCCTGCAGCAAGTACATGTTCATAACTAAGCAAGCAAGAGATAATTCCAATATTGTCCTTCACGTGTAAGTGATTCCTCGGCAGGCATCTCTTCACTGTAGTAGAGACCCTGAAGACATTGCATTTTGTATCGGTGTCTATAGTGAAGTCCTAACTTTTTACTAGAACTGTTAGAAATTGAAACATTAAGTTGTGAGACATTTTTTATGACCACTAGGAATCAATGGAAAAAAGAAAAAGCAATATTGACACATGGATTCAAAGTGCGCAATGGGATATTTACTAACACAACTACACAACATTTAAAAGAAACCAGCAAGAGTAAGAGGATAGGTGAATCAGTCAGCCTGGATATCAATGGCTGATCATTCACTCAAATAAATGTCATGAGCTGACCTTTATCAGATGTTTTGGGAATAACAGTTTATCTCTCAGGATTTGTAATGTGAATGGTGAAGTGTTCCATATGCCTGAGACACTGGCCAGGCAGTCCTCGGAAGAGGCTGGAAAGGGTTAGTCCCTGCCAGGGTCATTTCTCCTTCAGGTGTCCCAGTACCAAACTGTCCTCTTGGATTCCAGAGGGAGAGAAAATATTAGCTCGCCTGTGGCCAGATTCTGACTCGGTCAGAGAAGTTCGGTTTCGTTCTGGGGTGTAGCGCTGTAAACAAGTGTGCTGATATTCTGGCTGTCAACAATAAGTCCCGCGTATCAGTTTCATTGGGCTGGTGAAATTGTCATTGGATCTCGAGTTGCAAGATTTCTCTTGTCGCCGAGGAAGCCTTGGGCACAGTTCTGTTCACGTGCGGACTCTCTCCTGGCCCAGCGTCTTGAGCTGAAGTTTGGTTTCCTGACACAGACAGTTGTGGTTGCATGACGTGGTCAATTCTTTGGGTGTGCAGTACCTGTTTAACCCAGAAATCACAGCTGCTGACTGGCTGTGGTGTCATCAGGTGTGGACCTTTCCGCAGCCTGCCGGTCCTTCTTTGGTTGGTCGTCGTTTTAGAATTTTACATCACACCTCCCTGACTGGGATAATCCTTACATTCAGGTGGGTAGCTGCGTCAGCATGCATAGGCTGCAAAGGAACAAGTAATAGGTTTATTCCATGCTGAAAAAAAGAAGAAAGAGAACACAACGTTTCGGCCGTGGAGTCTTCTTCAGGTGTGAGAGAGACAGGGCAGTAGGCAAAGGTAAAGTAGCGGGAGAACAAAGGTTGGGAGGGAGGAGGAGTGAGAGGCGGGAGCAGGGGACAGAAAGAGAGGCCAATCAAGAGGTGTGAAGTCAGAATGGGTGCAGAGAGGTGTGAAATGAAACTTCCAATGAATGGAGAACATTTAAAAGAACAGTAGTCTGTCTTTAAGGGAAGGGAGAATGTGTGATCCTAGCTGCAGGATAATTTTAGTTTCGGTGGTCTTTCTGATGTATGAGAAAGACCTTACATTGTTTTCATGCTGAAAAATATAGCAGTTACAGAGCAAAACCTCTTTCAGTTTACATGTAGGAGTCTCACACCTACGGACACAAGTGCTTAGCACAGAATTGTTCCATCCTGTTTTCAGTCACTGCAACGCTGCCTTTATGTTGTTTTCCTTTTTACCAACATACAAATTCTCAGAAAAGAGCACTGGTTGCATCATAGAGTAACAGAGGAACAAAAAACTTCACCAAGAACTTTTGTTCCTAAACAAATTATTCTGATTCAAAACAGTAACAGCTTATGTTCATTAAAGAGTTATTTTCATGGACTAAAAACAGTTTTCAAACCAACTGCAGACATGAAGCAGAGATGCTTCATTATTTCTTTCAGTTTTCTTGATTATTAATCAGTGTTAATGTCTGGGAAATGGAGGCAAGACCAGGACTGAATGCAGTTCCACATGACTCTCTCTGACTGCTCTCTGTGGTGTGAGTGGTCACAGCATTGTGGGGATGGGAAGACCTGCTGCAGGGCAGGGGTCAGCGCCCCAGCCAGCCAATCACACTGTCACATTTGATGAATGGGCGGAGCAGTGGCTCTGTGGCTCAGGATCTGCGCCTGTGGCTGGAAGGTTGCCGGTTCGTATCCTTTGGCTGGCAGAGGAATCCTACTCCGTTGGGCGCCTGAGCAAGGCCCTTCACCCCAGCTGCTCCAGGGGTGCTGTATAAATGGCTGACCCTGCGCTCTGACCCCAAGCTTCTCTCCCTGTCTGTGTGTCTCATGGAGAGCAAGCTGGGGTATGCATAAAAAGACAAATTTTATGTCTTTATTGGTCATATACAATGTCTTGTACTAGGAATTCCATTGTATATGGCCAATAAAGTAATCTGATCTTATCTTATGCTAGTGTGATGTCGCAGGCTTGCTTGTTACATGGCTTCGGCTTCCTTCGCAGCAAAGGAACGCTGGACCCTGTTGGCAAGGGCAGCAGGAGGTGCTGGCAGTGGGGTCCGAATCACAGAGAGACCGGGGACCCAGCAGGCCACACTGAGGACTGTGCAGTCTCATGCGATTACAGAAATGTTAAAAGAAAGAGAATAAGGCATAGTAGAGTATAAACATTGTGCTTGCTGCTTATGCACTGAAAATATGGCACTGTAATAATAAGTGTAGGCTACAAGTGTCTTACTGTACAAGTGTCCAACAGCACAACTTCAGAAATCCATTAACAGGTATCAGCAAGTATCGGTGTCCTGTGGAGTTTCCTTCTGTTAAGCTTGAAATCGGCCTCCCATTTTTTTGGGGGATGTCTTTGTGTTTGATAATGGACTGGAGAACGAATTCTTCTTGCTTCTTACTCCTGGAGAACTTAACTCTTCCCTTCCCCCTAGGTTCACTACGATGAGTTCATCCCCCAGTTCGAGAAGCAGTACCCAGGTTACCCCTGGGCGTCTGTGCAGGTATGGCCCCCCCTCCTCCTCCCCACTCAAGGAGCCCTTTTCTTCTCTTCTGCCCCCCGGACTCCACCAGCCCTCCACCCCATCTCCCTCCTTCCTCCCCGGGGCACGAGGTCGCGGGCAGGACGACGGAGCCGAACAGATCCCGCAGGAGCACTGCGGGGTGATCTCGCAGTCAGCCAGCACTCTCCAATCCTACCTTAAAGCGCACTCCTAATACTCTTGCTTTTGCTTTGGTTTTATTGTGTGTCCCTGTGTGATTGTTTCATTGTCCGGCGCCTTGAGCTGATACCTCCTAAATCAAGGTTAGTGTATGAGCTTCGTGACAGGGCAGCGAGAGAGAGCCTGCTGCCCAGAGAGCACTCACGGTGGTGGAGTGGAGTGTGCAGAGATCGGGGGAATGGCGGGCCAGCGGGGCAGCTGTCCTGGTCAACTGGCTGCGGGTGTCGTGGCGAGTCTGAGAGACGCCAGTCCGAGCCCCCGGGGGGGCCGATGCCAGCAGGAGTCCTGACGAGAGTGAGAGAGCAGGGTTGTCTGCACGAGAGTTCATGCCGCTTTGAAACAGCCTGTGCATTTGATGTGAGAGGATGAGAGAGCAGCAGCTTGCGGGTAGACAAGGAGGCGGTTACAGAGCGCCGTGCCACCCAACAGCACTGACCAGGTTGTGGCGCTTGTCTCTGCAATTCAAGGGCTGTGTGCGCGCAGCTGTGTGGACGGTGGACCGATCTGAAAACGTGAAAAAGTCCTTTTCCAGAAGTACAGTAAGTGTGTGTTAATGGGAAGCGGCTGCAGTCCTCCAAATAAATGTCTCGGGGAGAGTTCAGAGAAAGTCATGGGCACACAGAGGTATCTGTGTGTGTAAGCTCCTGTGCTGGGAGCTGCTGTTGTGTGTTGTGGGTGCATGAGATCTGCGTATGTTGTGTGCTAGGAGCCAGGCCTGTGTGTTGTGTGTGAAGACTGCTGGGTTAACTGAGGAATTTATTTCCAGGAGTAAAGAAGTTGGAGGAGGAGTCTTGTTCTGGTTTAATTATCTTTAGTGGTTGCTTTAGATTTGCCAAGAATTTGAAGATTGTGTTAGAGTTGTTTTTGGGTTGTGAAGTTTGTGGTTGTGTAAAGGATTGAGTGGTGTAGAGTATCTGGCTGCTGTGCGCACCAGAGGCTGGGAGGATAGCGTGGAAGTTTTGTTTCGAGCATTTGTGGTTGTGTGTTTCTGCGAACATTTGTGGTTGGTGTGTAGCCGTGTTTTAAAAGTGGTTGTACGTCATGTCTGCTTGGGGTTCTGTCGGCGGTCTCGGGGGAGATGGGGTGAGGTGACAGAATCGTCAGTCTGGCTGCTGTGTGGGCCGGAAGTGGGGAACCCTGCAAGAGGAAGAGCGAGGATGACAGTCCCCGAGGGGGGTGCGGTGTGGCGAGAGAGTGAGGCGTTCTGTGTTTTCAGCGACGTCGCTGGGTGAGGAAGTCGCAGGCGGACCTGTGAGGGAGTCAGGTGCCGTGTGAGCAATGATCTGACAGATAGAGATCGAGGAGTTTGACATATTTCCATGTACAACGGGATTCTTGTTTGCGCCGATCTCTCAGCACAGTACACCAGACAGAACAACACAAAATGAAGACGGTGCATTACAAAACAGCCGATAACAAGAATGACAATATGTCGGTAACAATAATCAATAATAATAGTGGCAGTATGTACAGATGCTAAACAAACAGAGAAATAAATACGTGTCAGAAAGCCAAAATGCAGAGTGCAGAGGTGTGTTGGACTCTGAGTCATTGCACACTTAACTGTTTGTGATGTTTAACTGTTTATGATGCAGTACTACCATATGACTGAAGCTCTTCTTAAGCCTAGTGGTCCGTGCTTTGATGGTGCTGTACTGCCTGTACTGCCAGTTCTCTCATTTTACTGAATTACGAATCTTACATTGAAATTTTGTTCTCTGTGATATTATTTCAAAGCACTGAAACTCAAAATTAGTTATTTTAATGTGACATTGTTTTATGTAAGTAAATATTCTTAAGGAAAATTAAAAAACTGAAATATGCTGTAATATGCTGTAATCAGTAAAATGAGAATATTGGTCAAGGGTCTGAATACTTTTGCAAGGCACTGTATCTTGAGGCAGGGAGGTACAGTTACCCAGCAGAATTAGATGTGAGCATAGTTTGAAGTTTCTTAGGGGCTTCCCCAACACACAGTCCCCAGTGCAGAGCCCAGCACAAAAGAACACACTCCAGACGCTGGTGCTTTATCCAATTACATTGGCGCAGAGCAACTTCCATTTGGGTTTGTGCGGTGGAATTAATTTAATTAATGAATGTTTTAATTAATGTCTCCTGTGCGAACAGGTTTAAGTTTGCCGTTCCCTCTGTGTTACAGGAGGAGGTGTTCAAGGCCTTTGCAGAGCTGTTCCAGTTGGCTTCCTCCAGGCCTGCCCCCTATGGCATCTGTCCCTACCCCTCCTCTAGAGCCATTTATGCCATTGACCTGATGCTGAAATGGAGTACAGACGCCGAGGGTGAGACTTCTGTGCTGAACGGATGTGGAGACGTTTCCTTTTGAAAACGTGTGTGTGGCGTCTTGCAGAGTGCTGAGAGTGCCTGAATCAAGGCAGCTCGTGTTCTGGGGTGGTGCTGAGAAATCCGGAGAACTTCCTCATGTATTAAACAAGTATTGTACATGTATATCATGTCAAACTGCAGAACACTTGTAACAACAAGACTGTTATCTAACAGTACCCTCAGCAAAATGATTTATGATCCAGGGTTCGTGGACATGTAAGGCAGATCTAGTTCTGCATAGCACTGAAAACTAACACAGTTACTTTGAGAAATAAAATGAATTGCCTACAGGTTACATGTAAGAAGATAATAAGGGTCCTACAACAGAGCCCTGAGGTACCCCTGGTTACTTTTTGTAATTATTCAAGCATCATTCAATTTAAAATAATACATGTAATATCAGAAGCTTTCCCCAAAAAGCTAAAGTTAAAACAAGTATAGGTAAGCCATAAATTACAGTCTATTTTTTAAATGATAAACCCTGACTTTCCAGAGTTGTGAAATTAAAATGGAGAGACAGTGTCCACTACTGTAGACATCCAGAGTTCGGCTTCAAGATATTTTTAATCATCAGGAGAAGAACTCACCTGACATTGCCTGGTTTCTCCCTCCATCACTGCTGCTCCTGACAGTGCTTCTACAATCTCGTTCTGAAAGCTCTCGAGACGGAGGACTCTTTGGTGAAGCTTGAACGCAGGTGCCTGGCGAGTGCTTTTAGAGCACGGGAACAGTGTATTTCTCAAAATTAATGGGGACATTTCTTTTCCTTCAGGTCAGAGAATCATGCAGCCTCAGATTCTGGAAGTAAATTTTAGTCCTGACTGTGCCAGAGCCTGCAAGTACCACCCCAGCTTTTACAACGACGTCTTCAGCACTCTGTTCCTGGATGAAACGGCAGGGCGCCCGGTGACTCAGATTGCATGACAGGAGAGGCAGTGCGAAGATTGTCCTGGGGCAGGCCTTCCAAACCTATCTACAGGGTCTGTGGATGTGGGTGTGCATCTGATATCAGACTGAAATACTCTTCCACACTGCAGCCATCCAGTGTATGACTCTGCTCTCAACACTGTGAAGGCACCTCAGTTGATTATGTGGTGTAAAACCTTACCAACAGCTGTCATTAAAGCCCTGCAGTGGACTCTACATTTTTGTTCTCCTTGTTGACTGTGCTTGTTTTGAGTTTCAGAATGTCTTTTCTTTTCGCTTCCCGCAGTGAGCTGAACTCCGGAGTCATGTATTCTAGTTCCTATTGACGCAAACTGACAAGACCACGATCAGCTCTTCAGGTGAATCAGTGTTGTGTGATTTATTTTTAAAGCAATGCACCATGCAGATAAAACGTAATTTTAACATTTCAAAACATCAAAAGTTATTGTTGATTAAAAGTTATAATAATTTGATTAAAAGTTGGTTGAAGTTATATAATCAGAAAAGTTGCTTAAAGGTATAAGAATCAAAGTTATGTTTATTTCACCCTAGGTGATTTTGAAATAATTTACTCATGGTTTAATTCCAGAACTGGGGTGTTATCTTCATGGACTTTGTATGTTATACCCATGTTTGTGTGGGTTTCCTCCCATGTTTCAAAACCATATTGGTAGTTAATTGGCTTCTGGAGAAGTTGGTCCTGGTGTGAGTATGTGCATGTCTGTGTTGTTCTGTGCAGTCGCCCTGCGACATACCGGTGTTGTCCAGGGTGAACCCAGTCTTGCACCCATTGTTTGCCAGGATGGGCACCGACTCCCCTTCAACCCTGAGCAGAGATTAGAGTAGAGTAGTTTATTGCCATATGTACACGTACGCTGGAATTCTTAATCGCGCTGATCTCTTGGGACATGCACAGGACACCAGACAACACTGCACAATGCAGACAACAGGAACCGTAAATATGTTGTGAAAAAATAA